TCTGGGCCATTAAATAAGATCATGGCTGTTCTGATTACTCCAATTATTTTTAAGTAAATTCATGGGATGAGGGCATTGCTGGATGGGCCAGCATTTATTACCCATCCCTAATCGCTGAGAGGGTAGTTGAGAATCAATCACATTGCTGCGGGTCTGTAGGCCAGACCAGGTAAGATTGGTAGTTTCCCATCTGATGGTTTGTTCCAAACTGTGCTGGTAGCTACATCTTCCTCTGTCTTTGAAAGTACCTGGGATATCGATTTTTTTTTTTCTGAACTTAAACATAGCACAGCGCTGATCATAGCACAAATTTGGCTGTCTTGTCAAAAGTCACAACATTTAGAGAAAATGAAGTGCCAAGATGATTAAGTTACAATGTAGGATTCTATGCATGCTAAACCATGGAAACTGTATGCTACAGAAGAGCTAAACAATCTCAACAAATAGATCAGATCGAAGCTGTGGAGTAATGGTACATCTACTTGTGAATAGTGGTGGACAATTAAACAACAAATTGGGGTTGGAGGCTCCCGGAATACTCGCAGAGATCGAGGAACCCAGCATGTCAGTTCAAGAAAACAAGGCAAGAAACACTGTGATCATCTTCAGCCAGAATGGAATGAACAGATCATCCAATTTGGCCATCTTCCTCAGGTCTCCAGCATCATAAGTACCAGTCTTCAGACATGATATGAAGATCTGACTGAAGGCGCAGGATTCTGTGAAGAGTAATGGCCCTGACAACATCTTGGCAGCAGTACTGAAGACTTGTGCTCCTGAACAAACTTGTTCCTGGCTACAACACTGGCATCAACCTGGCATTGTGGAAACTTGCCCAAGTATGTTCTGTCTACAAATAACAGGGCAAGATGTTGTCAACAGTGGTATCAAGTAGTGGCATATACCTGCTCACTGATGCTCTCAGTTTGGGGTCCACCAAGATCAGTGATTCCAGATTTTAATGCAACCTTGGGCTAAAACTAGGCCCAAACATCTTCAGCTGCATTATCATTGACTTTTCATCCATCCTGAGCTCAGTGGTGGGAACGCCCACTGATGGTTGTGTAATGTTCCACACCATTTGCAACATCTCAGATAGTGAGGCCATTCAAGCCCATATGTAGCAAGAGCCAATGTTCAGGCTTGGGCTGCTAAGTTGCAAACAGCATTCACATCACACATGTGCTAGACAATGCCTATCTCTAACAAGAGAGAAATGAACCACTTCCCCTTATTATTTAATGATAACACTATTGAATATCAATACAATACAATATTGCAGCATCTGGGTGAGCAAAGGCTGAAATTGATGGTCTTTTCCTAACAGGCACGTTAAAGTGACCATACTAAAAAAAACAGTATGTAGCCAGAGTAGACCTATAGTAAAAGTAGATCACAAATAAAATTGTAGTTCTTTCATGGCATTCTTAAACAAGTAAGCATTACACTAGAAACCAAGAAAGGGTGACAAAGATGATGATTGGGCAAACAGCGACAGGATGTTCTGTGGCTGATCACACTCCCATATCTCTGATATTTTCTGTGATGGTTGATTTGTAAAGCCAAAAAGCTCAGAACCACTTTTTTCACTGGTTTGAAATGACTCCAGCAAATGTTTCAAAGGCAAGTTGGTAGCTTCATCTCCCTCTGTAAAGCACCTTTCCTTTGCAGTCTCTATGTTTGTGCAGAAAAGAAAATGTAACACTGCCACCGGGAGTTTCACCAGGCACAAGATCTCTGTGTGGAGTTTCTCAAACTTTGAGTAGATTTAAATAGTTGGGAAGCTGTTTACATCCACTAGGATAGTAACCCATTGTAATTAAATCATGATAAATTCATACAAATCCACTGAATCTCCTACCAATAAAAATCCCGAGGATTATCATTGACCAGAAATTGAATTGAACCAGCCATATAAATACTGTAACTACAAGTGTAGGCGAGGTACTAGGAATTCTGCAGTGACTAATTCACTTCCTGGTTCTGTAAAAGCTGTCCACCATTTGCAAGCCACAAGTCCTTTGTTTATGATTCGTGAATGCTTTTGGAATAATTAAAATGGGAAGTTTAAAGCTGCAAATTGAAAAGAGGCAATTCAGTTCCAAACAGAAAACGACTTGTAAGCATAAATGGAAAATTGTACATGCCAAAATAGGTCCACTCTGGGATTCTCAACTGGTTTAAGGTTTTTGCAAAGACTTTTAGCTCGGGTTGTGGGTGAGGTTGTTGACTTGCTCGCCGAGCTGGCTTGTTCTCGTTCAGACATTTCGTCACCATGCTAGGTGACATAATCAGTGAGGTCTCTGATGAAGCGATGTTGTTCTACTCTGCTTGGAACTTATACTATTTGGTCCGTTATGGTGAGTCGTGTCATTTCCGATTTAGATCTGTATGGATTTGTATATGGGGTCCAATTCTGTATGTTTGTTGATTGCATTATGGGTTGAGAACCATGACTATAGGAATTCCTGTGCGTGTCTAAGTTTGGCTTGGGCTACTCTGGTTATGTTGTCCCAGTTAAACGGATGGCCTTCATTGTCAGAATGTACTTATATTAAGGAAAGTTCATCATGCCATTTGCTGCTAGCTGATGTTTGTGTGATGGCTATTTTCCTACCTGTCTGTCCAATGTAATGTTTGCGGCAGTAGTTGCATGGTATTTTGTAAATTGTGTTGGACAAACTTATAGAATTGGACCCCATATACAAACCCATACACAACAAAACCGGAAATGACAGTATTCACCATAACAGACCAAACAGTATAAATTCCAAGTGGAGTAGAACAACATCGCTTCATCGGAGGCCTCGCTGATGATGTTACCTAGCATGGTGACGAAACAAAAACAAGCCAGCTCGGCGAGCAAATCAACAACCTCATTTTCAACTGGTACTGTCAACATTATGGGCAATGTTTCATTCCCTTTCTATTGGTGACCTGTATATAACCAATCTCAGAAAATAATAAACACCTTTTACGTGTTGATTTCAATCTGTGTATGAGGTTCATGTCTCTGACATGGAGTTCAGTTTCTGAGCATGGAGGTGCCTATCTCTTAGGGGGAGTTCAATCTGTATGATTGAAGTGTCTGTATCCTAAATTGTATCAAAAAGTCACATCTTAATGTCATTGCTGACTCAAGTCCCTGATTTGGGATATCTATAAGGGTCCACTTTGACATCAGAATCACAACAACAGTCACAGACCCTTCCCTAGGTCCTCAAGGAGTCTGTGAGCCTCCCCAACCTTACCCCTACCTTCCTGTTTGAAGCACGACAGAGGATTTAAATATGAGAGCAAAGTTAGAGCTTAAATTATAAAAAGTAGCATCATGGATAGGAAACAGAGAGTAATGGTTACTGGATGTTTATTTGGGCTGGAGGAAGTTTGTAGTTGAGGTCCCCAGGGGTCAGTTTTGGGACCCTTGACTTTCCTGACATATATTCATGAGCTAGACCTTTGTGTACTGGGGACAGTTCCAAAGCTTGCAGATGATACAAAACTTGAATGTATTGTGAACTGTGAGAGCACAGCATGGAACTCCAAAAGGAGATAGCTGGGTTGGTGGAATGGGCAGACACATAGTGAATTAAATTCAATGTGGAGAAGTGTGAGAAGAATATATTTTGTTGGACAAAATTGGAGAAGTAATATAAAATAAAGGGGACAAATCTAAAGGGGTCCAGGGAGCAGAAGAACCTGGGTGTGCATATGAGTTAATCATTAAAGGTTACAGGGCAGGTAGACAGGGCATTAAGTAAAACATACAGTACCTTTGACTTTGTTGATGGGGGCATGGTGTACAAGAGATAGGAAGTTTAGAATCATCATAGAATCCCTCAGTGTGGAAGCAGGCCATTCTGCCCATTGAGTCCACAACAACCTTCTGAAGAGCATCCCACCCAGACCCCAAGTTATATTGAACTTGCATGTGGAGGTGATGGCCCAGTGGTATTGTAACCAGACTGTTCATCCAAAGACCCAGGTAATGTTTTGGGGCTCACGTCAGATGTTGGAATTTGAATTCAATTAAAACAATATCTGGAATTAAGAGTCTAATGATGATCATGAATCCATTGACGATTGTCAGGAAAAACCCATCTGGTTCACTAATCTTACTTGGTCTGGCCCACATGTGACCCCAGACCCACAGCAATGTGGTTGACTCTTAACTGTCCTCTGGATGAGTAGGGATGGGCAACAAATGCTGCCTGGCCAGTGACACCCTTATCCCGTGAATGTATAAGAAAAAAAAACAAGACATTAGTTCATCCATGACTGGAGTATTGCGTTCAATAAAGAAGGGTGTGAAGGCACTGGAGAGAGTGCAGCAAAGATTTGTGGGAATGAGTCAAGGGATGACAAACTTTAGTTGGGAAGATAGATTGGAGAAGGTTTCCTTAGAGAAGGCCAAGAGGAGATCTGATTCAAGTCCTGAAAATCAGAAAGGATCTTGACAGAGTAAAAAAGGATGAACTGCTTACCCCCAGTAGTGAAAGGATCATGAATGAGAGGGCACAGATTTAAAGTAATTGGCAAAGGGGGCAAAAGAGATAGGAAGATAAAAGCTTTTTATACGTGAGTAGTTAGGATCTGGAATGCACTCACTGCCTGACAGTTTGTCAGTAGTAGGTTCAATCAAGATGTACAAAAAGCAGAAAGATTGTTACCTGAAAAGGAAGAATGTGCAGGACTACAGGAAGAAGGCAGGAAGATTGGCCTAAGTGAATTGCTCATTAGGAGAGCCGATGCAGACATGATGGGCCGAATGGCCTCCTTCTGCACTCTAATAGTTCCATGAAGGTTTGAATCTGGCCCACAGATCACCAAAGACTAAATTACTTTCCATAAAAAGTGAGCTTTCCCTAGTCTATCTTATTCCATCAATGTAGAAAGACTTTATGAAGATGCAGGCCGTTCAGCCTACAAGAGTAAGCTACAGACATAAACCAACCCCGCATCCCTTTAAAAGCAGTCTCGTAAATAATGTCAACAAAAAATCATTCTGAAATGCTTTTATTCTTAACTGAAACGTCTGTTTTGGCAGTGATGTGCACCAACTGCAATGGTTATTGTCAGTGATGTGAGACAATCAGAGTAACACCAGTGGGAGAAATTGAGACATAGCTACCAGCACATTACACCATATAACTCCTTCCAGTTACTCTTCTCTAACATGCAAACAGGGTCTAAAGGAGTTGACTTAAATATCATTATGTTGTACACAAGGTGAGACACTCAGCACACACTGAAATAAGCTGCAGTGGGGACTTTTAAACACACGCCACTCCCTTAAAATTCTGATGACGGAATCATAGAATCTTATAGCAAAGGAAAAGGTCATTCAGCTCCTTGTGCTGGAATTTCGAATGAATTATCCAACTGGCCCCATACCTGACTTTTTTCCCAACTGCATGTAATTTTTATCGGCATATATGACCAATTTCCTTTGGAAAATTAATAACTGACACAGTTTCACCATCTTTCCGGGCAGTGCGTTACTCCACTAAATAAAACACATGGTTTGCACACAGACTTCTCATATCAAACCTCAGGTCTCACGTGTTTTCCTGATCCAGAGGTTCATCTTTGAGCTCCTCTTCCAAGAGCCTCCTTTCCTTGACTGCTGACCAACTTGTTCTCTTCCTGATCTCGTGCTGAATTTCCTTTGGGAATTTTGTACCTTGTCCGTTGCGTGTAGAGGAGATTTTTGCAGAAAAGCCGAGGGATGTTTCCATTGAACAAAAAGATGGCCAAAATTGTTGCTGTAATAGAGAAGACTGGGTAGAGTCAGATCGATTAGAGTATGAGTGAACCACAGCATCATGAGTGCATTTGGGAGTTGTCAGCCTTATAAATCATTACAAGAACCTGTCAAGCAGATCACTTGTCTATGATGACTTGATCTATCCATTATCCACTGGAAGTGTAACAATTTAACCTGTTATCGAAAAGTTGCTCTTCCTTGTGAACAAGGATCTCCCACTAATCAGTTTGTGTTCCCCATCTAACCCACAAGAATCACTTGGAATCTAAGTAAATTTTTCTTCTTTTCTGCTACTATTTTCCCCACTCCTGATGGTGCTGGGCAGTTCCAGTACATAACCTAAGGCCACCCCTCTGATCCAGCTGTTCACCCATACAGAAACGTGGTGTTACTGGATGGTGATCAGAAGTGTGAACCCAGACTAATCTTCCGTTCCTAGCCAATGTCACTGAGCCCACATGTAATTCCCATTATTCTAACTGGGATCAGTAAATACAGCTCATGGCAAAGATCAACTTGGTAAGTGTGGCTCAGTCTAATGTAACCAGCAGTAAGGCTAAGAGCTACATTTCTAAAGGTGCCTCTGCAGGGATTATTACTCAGTTGGAACTTACTTTTTGTGAAGGTTCAGAAACAGGTTTGTTCAGTGGCTCTCTTTTCCACTTTATCCATCAGTTATTGACTACTTTTTGGATTTTGCTCCTTATTGTTTCTCTAGTATTGCAAATAACGTGACTAAAGCACATATTATAAGACGACATATGGTAATAGTCTGAAGTGTTGGCTATATAGCAGTAATTCAGTTACAGAAACATTAATAGGACAGGTGCATAATCTCAGAGATAGAACAATGCAGCTACTGTTGCACCTATGTCTGAAACACCATCAATGCAAAGCAGGCATGTGAATGATGCATAATATTAAATTGTCATTGCACAAATCAACAGTCTAGTTGGATTAGCCATTAAGAGAATAGCACTGATGCACAGAGCACTAAAATTTGGGCTCTTAGCCTTCATGAATGAGGAAGGGGATTGCTGTTACTCACCAATGAATGGACTGAGCCAGTAGACCAGCATGTATTCTGACAGTGTATTTCCAGAACAGTGGAACGTGGCTGAGAATGCAAGTGCTGGGTTAAACAGAGCTGTTGTGTATGGGCCAGCTGCAGGGGAAAATCAAAGTAACAGATCACAAAGCAATAAATCCAACTCCCTCTCAGAGTCTGTCATAGGGCATGGCTAACATCGCCAACCATGATGTGGAGGTGCCGGTGTTGGACTGGGGTGAACAAGGTCAGAAATCACACGACACCAGGTTATAGTCCAACAGGTTTATTTGAAAACACAAGCTTTCGGAGTCTCACTTCTTCTTCAGGTGTTAGTGAGAGAGGTAGAATCAGACACAGGATTTATAGTAAAAGATCAAAGGGTCACACCACTGATGAGGATGTACTAAACAAACCTAAGATGCTGTTAAATCTTTAATCAGTTAGAAGGTTTTAATTGATTAATATGTATATGTAAATCACTGAATTCCTTTCAAGTCACTGTCCTGAGAGAACTAAAGGTTTTATCAGTGTAAAAAAGAGGTGACATTTTCGGTCAGACAATGCATATTAGGTGTGAGATCTTGTTTAGAAACTGTGTCTTAGTTTGGAGTCAGACTGGTTTTATTTCTGAAGTGGGAATTTATAAAACTCCACATTGACTGTCTATAAATGGTGTGCTTTTTGAATAAAATAAAATGTATCTGCAAATACAAATTCACCCAATAGATTCACGTGTGTGTGTGTGGGCGGGGAGAAAGAGAGTGGGTGTGTGTATGTGAGGGGGGATGAGAGTGTGTGTGTGTGTGTGTGTGTGTGTGTAGTGGGGTGCATGTGAGCGGGGGAGAGTGTGTGTGTGAGGGAGAGAGAGAAAGTGTGTGTGTGAGGGAGAGATAGTGTGTGTGAGTGAGAGTGTGTGTGTGTGTGTGTCTGTTTGTGTGTGTGTGTGTGTTTGTGTGTGCGCGCACGTGAGTGTGAGGGGGGAGAGAGAGAGTGTGTGTTTGTGTGTGTATGTGGGGTGTGTGTGAGAGCAGGGGGAGAATGTGTGTGTGCGAGGGAGAGTGTATGTGTGTGTGTGTTTGTGTATGCGCGCATGCGTGTGTGAGGGGGAGAGTGTGTGTGTGTGTGTGTATGTGGTGGGGTGCATGTGAGCAGGGGGAGAGTGTGTGTGTGAGGGAGAGAGAGAAAGTGTGTGTGTGAGGGAGAGAGAGAGTGTGTGTATGTGTGTGTGTGTGTTTGTGTGTGTGTGTGTTTGTGTGTGCGCGCACGCAGGTGTGAGGGGGGAGAGAGAGAGTGTGTGTTTGTGTGTGTGTATGTGGGGTGTGTGTGTGAGCAGGGGGAGAGTGTGTGTGTGTGTGTGTGTGAGGGAGAGTGTGTGTGTGTGTGTGTGTGTGAGAGCAGGGGGAGAGTGTGTGTGTGTGTGAGGGAGAGTGTATGTGTGTGTGTGTTTGTGTATGCACGCATGCGTGTGTGAGGGGGAAGAGTGTGTATGTGCGCGTGTGCGTGCACGCGCTTGCAAGGGGGAGAGAGTGTGTGTGATGTGTGTGCGTGTGAGTGAGCGAGAGTGTGTGAGGTGTGTGTGCGTGTGTAAGCGTGAAAGTATATAGTGTGGTGGGGTCACCTGTAGTGTGACATGAACCCAAGATCCCAGTTGATGCCATCCTCATGGGTACGGATCTTGGCTATTAGCCTCTGCTCGGCAACCCTGTATTGCATTTGTCTGATCTAAAATGTCACTTCTTCTTTACACTGACAAAATCTTTAGTTCTCTCAGGACCGTGACTTGAAAGGAATTTGCGATTTACATATACATATTAATCAATTAAAACCTTTTAACTGATTAAAGATTTAACAGCATCTTAGGTTTGTTTAGTACATCCTCATCAGTGGTGTGACCCTTTGATCTTTTACTTATAAATTCTGTGTCTGATACTACCTCTCTCACTAACACCTGAAGAAGGAATGAGCTGCTAGAGGAGGTGGGTACAATTGCAATATTTAAAAGGCATCTGGATGGATACATGACCAAGAAGGGTTTAGAGGGATATGGGCCAAATGCTGGCAAATGGGACTAGATTAATTTAGGATATCTGGTCGGAGCAGACGAATTGGACTGAAGGGTCTGTTTCCATGCTGCATAACTCTGTGTCTCCATCTTCTTGAATGTCTGCCACTGCTTTTCTTACGTGTAGGCTATTTTCCCAGTTTACTTTAGCCAACCCTGTCTTCATTTACATGCCTTGTAATTACCCTTCTTTAAGTTCAAGATATTAATGTCAGATCCACATTTGTCACCCCTCATACTGAATGTGAAAGTCTACCATTCTTGATCATTCTTACCTGGAGAATCCTTTACGATAAGGTCATTAATTAATCCTGTCTTATTACATACTACCAGATCTGAAGTGACCCACTCCTTGCTTGTTTCTCAAATGAATTGTTCTGAGAAACTGTATTCAATACACTATGAATTCATCCTCCAGCCTACTTTAAACAATTTGATTTGTCCAAACTAAGATAATTAAAATCTCATTGTCATTGCAGGTCCTTTCTTGGCAGACCAAGGTATACTTTGTTGTACAGTGTAGCCTCTATCAGGGCCTTATAAATCAGTCCCACTGGTGACCTTTTCTTTTGTTATTTCTTATCCCACCCTGAACTGATTTTACATTTTGATCCTCCAAATTAAGATCACTTCCCAAAACCGAAGTCATTCTTTAAACCACTTCTTTTTCCCTTCTTCCTGTTCTACCAAAATGTGAAATCTAATCAAATATTCAAGACCCAGTTCTAATCCCTAGACAGCCATGATCCCGTAATGGTTATCACATCATATTCAGACAATGAGCCTTTTATTCCATTTTGCTTTTACCATTTTACCCCCACTATTTGCTTGTGCATTCTTATGTCTGTACACGTTGATTACCGTAGTCTCTATGGCTATCCTGCTCCATTCTTTGTCCTTTCTCTTCAACTTTCCAAATCTTTGCTCACATGAATGATCTCGCCAGCACCAGTCTACCCCACTATTTAGTTTGAAACCCCCTCTCCAAGCCTAATTAAATGACTCACCAGGACTTTGATCCCAGTGCAATTCATGTGAATGTCATACCAAGAGCAGCTCTCTCCTTCCCCAGTACTGGTACCATTGCCCCTTGAATTGAAACCCATTTCTTCTTTGCAAGCCGTGCATTCAACTCTGATCTTATTTACCCCATGCTAATTTGCTCATGGTTCAGTTAGTAATCCAGAGATTATTCCTTTCTGCTCCTGCTTTTTAAATAAGCACCTAGCTGCTCATATTCCCTGAGTGGAAGTCCTTTCTAAGTCCTACCCACGGTGTTGCTCATTTTCATGTGGATCCTTCTTCCCTCAATCCTAATCTCTCATAAGCCTTAAGAAGTTGTCCTTAACCCTGGCACTGGGAAGGCAAGAGCGCTCAGGATTTGTGCCCTTGAGTGAAAACAGTAGTTATCTCCACAATTACATTGTCCTCTCCTACATTACCAGCCTCTCCCCACCCCACCCCCCATCAAACTCCCCCAAATTTCTCCCTGTAACATGGTCAGTTTGCTCACCCTTCCTGTTTCCAACCCCACAAGTTACAAGAACTTCAAATCTGTTGGAAAACTGTATGGTCTGCAACTCCTCCAGTGCTACCTTATACATCCCCATACTGTGACAGTCACAACTGCCTGTCCTCAGAGTGTGGCTGTCTCCTGGAACAAAATGCCCTGAGTACCTTCACACCCTCCATTTCAGTGTCTGAAGCTCAGACATAAGCTCATTGGTTCTAAACTGAACTGCTTTGAGCTGAAGACAGCCACTGCCAAAGTGGTTGCTGTGGATCACACTATCCAACAGCTTCCCCACCTACTACAGATGCAACACAATGACGTGCCACCTTATGCCATGTTTTGTTACTAACACAACTGATAAACGGGGACCGTGTCAAGTTTTGTTTTCCTCATATTATTGCAACAATTCTGCAACACAGCTGAACAGGTTGATTAAAAATGTCTATGTTAGACCCGTTATGAATTCACCGTAAGTGGGTCGATGAGGAAATCTTCTGCCTCAAAACAGTGAGAGTGAAGCTGGAGATGGCAGGGAGTAGACAAAGTATCAATGTTAGGCTCGTTTCTAGCCCATCAGGTTGACATTTCTGTCGCTATCACTTGTCTTCGTTATCACCATTCCACCTCCCTCCTGCCACACCAGGTCCTACTGCCCCATCGACATCTGTTAGTTCAATTTCTTCTGCCTACTCTCCTATAATCCCATTGAAACAAAAACTAGCCATCTCCCACTCCAGCCTTCCTAGATCTCATTCACTTGTCCCACTACTCTTCCCCACCTCGCAGGATTGATGACAGCATGATAGTTATTTCAGGTCAATATCGCCGTGATCGGCCATACAGCAACACAATCTGTCTTTCCACCTTCCCAGAAATTTCCCTTCCCACCCTCCAGCCTCCTATGAAGAGGTAGACGGGAGGCAGTTTTCAGAAACTCTCACAATAAATCGTGGAGGGGAGACCCACCTACATGCACCAGAGCAGTGATGGTCAAAGCTTTAGACAGGATCCTGTATCTGAGAGCTGCTCCCTCGACCTTCATCAGCACCAGGTGGAAAAGGCAGGCACAAGAGGCTTCGACAAAGGCTCCTTGGCTGATGGATGTCTGGATCGCTGAGCTGCACTCACTCGCCATCATGTTCTGAATAAGGTGCAAATCCGTCAGCTCCCAGGACCAGTACCTTTTCACCGCTGTGTTGGCTAACTGTGTCCCTGCAAACTGAGCCAAGATCTTTACAGCGCTGGCCACCGCAGGACTGTTGGAACGGAGAAATTCCTGTGCTGTGACCAGGGGATTGGCCTCAGCTCTGTCACACGTAGCCTCGTGGACTGAGGCGAGGAGGAACAGCAGGGTTATAACCACATCCATCCCAAACCCACCCCCCCAGGGCCCGATGACCACCAGCATCCTGAGCTCAAACCAGCAGGAAGCCAGCTGCAAGCAAGCCAGAAACTCAGCCATAATGTTGGAGTAGATCCAAAGCGACAGAATCTTTTTGGAAGTCCTCCTGATCACCTCGCAGAAAGCCACAACAGCAAAGAAGTACCCGAAGGAGACATTGAGTCCAGCCATGGTTTTACTCAAGACCTGGCTCCCTGTGGCTCCAAACACCTTGTCACTTTTTTTTTCAAACAGCAAAGCGTACATTCAACATAAACTCAATGACATGATAAATAAGTACACGTGTTCAAAGCAGAACCAAGCAAAAGCTGGTCAATGATCAACCAGTGCTTACACCAGCAGTGAATAAAATCCAACACTCAACTGTAAATTCATCCATCTATAAAGAGCAGAAGACCTGGGTTCAAGTACCACATGCCCTTAAGTGTGTCATAATATATCCAAACAGGTCGATTTGAGGTATTTTTTTAAACTTGCTGCTTCCCAGAGTAGATTATCCGCCCCAAGTACATTTTTTAACAATGTCCTTCCATGTGCAAACTTTTGAATTGGAATATCATCCAGGGTATTAACAGGGCAACATTAAGCACAATGCTAGGGGACTGAGAAAGGGAGAAGGGATTCAGGACGACTGTACATTACTGCTTTCTGGAAGAGGCAGGTGTGCAGCGGTGCAGAAATAAATTACATTAATAAAGCTGCATTTAAATATCCCAAGGCAGTAGCACAAGATGATACAAAGCAAACTTCTGTTGGAAAAGTGTGAAATTTAAAAGCAGGTCAGACAGCCTCTGTGAGGTGAGAAATGGAGTTATAACATTTCAAGTTAGCAGGGTGTAAGAGGCAAGACAGAGCAGGGAGTGGGACAGCTGTATTGTAGAACACCTCTGGTCACTCTATACATGACATTAAACTTTCAGTCATTTGTTGTTTTGATTCTCTCCCATTCTGACCCTTAGTTTGCTGAACTGTTCAAACGAAGCTCACAAGTCTACAACCTCCTGGATCCACAATAGCATTGAATAACTCAAAATGCTGCCGTATTTTCATTCTAGACAATTAATGATCCTGTTATTGACAATCACGGCTCCTCTAGATTCTTTTCTTTATCTGTCCCTTCACCATCCCCTTGCACCATCATCCCTTTTTGTCATTTAATGTTTTCTAGTCTTTCACTTTGTCTCTGACCATCAGTTTCCTTTCCTTCTCTCTCTCTTTCCGTGTCTTTGTACTTGCTCCAAACTGGTTACATCTCTAACCTTTCCAGGTTTTGATTATCTGAAATCTCAACTCTGTTTCTGCCTATGCTGAGGAACATTTTCTGTTTTTCTTTAAAGAGACATGAGGCAGGTGATGTTAGCAGAGGTAGAGTTTGAGGACTGTCTTAAAGGAGGGGGTGTGGGGAGGGGTGGAGGGGCAGAGAGATTGAGGGAGGACTTTCCTAAGCCTAGGGTCTCGATAGTGGAGGTGTGAAGGGGATGAGGACCAGGCCTGAGCTAAGGAGCTGGGTTCCACTAACACTGGCCTTGGTTCACCTTGCTGTGGGCTGGCCTCAATGGAATTCACACGCAAGTCACTTGCAGTTAAGCCTGAGTTTTCCAACCTTCCAAGCCTGCTTTGTGGAGCAGGATGGGGTAGGGGGCTCAGTCCCATCCCTCTTCCTCCTGCACAGTTGTCTTGGGCTGTGCTCTTGCTGCCATTGAGTTGATTTGATTTGATTTATTATTATTGCATGTAAATACAGCGAAAAGTTTTGTTTTGCCTGCAACACGGGCAGAACATAGCATACAAGATTATCTGATGATTGCATAGAGCCGGGGATACAAAGTTACGGCTGCAAAGAAGGTGCACAAAAGCACGTGAGATTTGAAATTTGAGCGGTCCATTCAGGAGGCTAATAACAGCGGGGAAGAATCCTGAATCCGTTGGAATGTGTGTTTAAGCTTTAGTATCTTCTGCCTGATGGAAGAAATTGGAAGAGATTATAACCGGGGTGGGTGGGACGGCATTTGATGATGTCCGCTGCCTTTCTGCAGCAACGAGAAGTGTAGGTGGAGTCAATGGATGGAAGGTTGGCTTGCGTAATGGTCTGGGATGTATCTGCAACTTCCTGTAGTTTCTTACGGTCCTGAGCAGAGCAGTTACCGTACCAAAGCTGTGACACACCTGGATAGAATGCTTTCTATGGTGCATCAGTAAAAGTCAGTGAGGGTCCTTATGGACATGCTGAATTTCCTTAGCCTCCTGAGAAAGAAGAGGTGTTGTTGTGCCTTCTTGACCATCGCATCGATGTAAATGGTCCAGGTCAGACCGTTGGTGATGGAGTGACACCCTCGACCATCTCCACCTCAGCTGCAGATAGGGGTGTGCCCTTCCCTTTGCTTCCTGAAGTCGATGCTCAGCTCTTTAGTTTTGGTGACATTGAGGGACAGATTGTTATCTTTGCACCATGACACCAAGCGTTCGATCTCCTTTCTGTGTTCTATCTCGTCATTGTTTGGTATCCGGCCCAGAACGGTGGTGCCGTCAGCTAACTTGTAGATGGAGTTCAGACGAAACTTGGCCACACAGTCATGAGTGTACAAGGAGTGTACAATGTTCTTTGTATCTGCCCAAACTCAAACAGCATCCCCCAACCTTCCCCAAATAAAAAAACCTAACTCTCATCCTCCAAACACCACACCCCCTCCTCAGCAGAGACAGCCAAAACTCTCATTCCCCAGCATAACCGTTTGCCTTGTCCCCAAACCGGTGTCTGCCTATAACTCTCCCCATCTGCGTCCTCCACTCATACTGCACTGCTCCCTCTATCACTCATATTTGCTGCTGATGGGGTTGGCCAGAGAACCATCCGTGTGGTCTGCAGGTCACCTGCCCTGGATGAACCTGCATAGCCCAGAGATGTTACAGTAACATTCCTATGATCTGGACCGAGTGCCTCCCATCTCTGGCATTAACATTTCTTCAGCATATCTGGAGTTCTGGCGAATAAACACAGTTGGCAAGATGAGATTTAATATTAAACCTTCAGCTGTTTGATTTCCCACCAGACCCTTAGGACAATAGTTGCGACTGGATTTGCTGCTTTCCATCAATCTAACTTGTCTTCTTTTGATTGGTTTACAAATAATGAGCAAGATAGTTTGGCACAGTTTGGTGGTGGGTTGCTTTGTTCAACTTAAGTAGAATAAATCCTCCTTACAATGATGGTAGGTCTGTTTTACGCTGACACAGCACTGCATCACAGCTTATCATCTGTTTCGAAAGCTAGACCACTTTCAGATGTCCGAAACTTGGTATTATTCCTGACTTTTCAGAATCAAAGAATGAAGAAATGGGTATAGAATATTAATCACTGACACAAGGTGGTGCATTCTTTATCGTGCACAGTCTGTGGGGAACAGTGTCACAAGAAACTTATCAACATCTTAACTGAACAATCCGACTCAAATGCACTATCTGGTAGTATATTCTAGCTGTTTTTAAAACTCTTTTGCAATCCTTCCTGTGAAATCGAAAGAAGGAACAGGCTGTAAGTGACAAGTGTTGAGAATGCGATCCCTGACCCTAACAGCCATCACACAGTCAACATCTCCTTCCATTGGATAAGTAATCTTGCTTATGACCAGTTTCAGTTTAGGCAGTGGGGACCACAACAAGCAACAGTTTTTATCTGGAATCAATGATTCTACATAATTACCTCAACTTTACAGCATTGGGTGCTGAAAAAAAGTTAATTTCCAAAGCAGATTCTGCGGCTGGAAGCAGTGAGTCTGATTTACCATAAAATACAGCTCACACAGATCAAGCGAGGAGCAATATCGGTGGGTCAGTGAAGGTGACCATGCCATATTGTCAAAGGAAGGTAGTTAAAATGTGTGACACCTCTCTGAAATGAAAGTGATAAAATCAAGCAGCAGGTGCTAAGATCTGTACTAGACCGCCCAACCATGTGGTGGAGGCATGCTCAATCGAGGCATTGAAGAGGGAAATAGATTATCGCTCGGAAGGAACATAAGAACTAGGAGCAGGAGTCGGCCATTCGGCCCCTCGAGCCTGCCCTGCCATTTAATAAGATCATGGCTGATCTTTTTGAGACTCAGCTCCACTTACCCGCCCACTCACCATAACCCTTAATTCCTTTACTGTTCAAAAATTTATCTAGCCTTGCCTTAAACACATTCAGTGAGGTAGCTTCAACCGCTTCACTGGGCAGGGAATTCCACAGATTCACAACCCTTTGGGTGAAGAAGTTCCTCCTGACCTCAGTCCTACATCTGCTTCCCTTTATTTTGAGGCGATGCCGTCTAGTCCTAGTTTCACCTGCTAGTGGAAACAATCTCCCTGCCTCCACCGTATCTGTTCCCTTCATAATCTTATATGTTTCTATAAGATCTCCCCTCATTCTTCTGAATTCCAATGAGTATAATCCCAGCCTACTCAGTCTCTCCTCATAATCCAACCCTCGCAACTCTGGAATCAACCGAGTGAATCTCCTCTGCACTCCCTCCAGTGCTAGTATATCCCTTCTCAAGTAAGGAGACCAAAACTGCACACAGTACTCCAGGTGTGGCCTCACCAGTACCCTATACAGCTGCAGCATATCCTCCCTGTTTTTAAACTCCATCCCTCTAGCAACGGCAGACAAAATTCCATTTGCCTTTTTATTTACCTGCTGCAACTGCAATCCCACTTTTAGCGATTCATGCACAAGGACACCTAAGTCCCTTTGCACAGCATCGTGCTGCAATTTTTTACCATTTAAAACATAGTCCATTTTGAAAGGGTGAATGTCTAGCAAACAAAGGTGGGGAGGTGGTATGTCACCGGGTCACTGGCTGCTTCAGTGAATCTGTTCAGACACGATGGGCTGAATGGCCTCCTGCTGTGCCAAAACCATTTTGTGGTCCACACAGGTTCTGTGTCAGTACACCTGCTCGACACGAGCACCCTCATGCTTCTCTTCATCTTATCCTTTCAATGTGGCACTCTCAGGGTTTAATCAGGTCTCCCTGAGACAGAGATAACAAGGTGTAGAGCAGGATGAACACAGCAGGCCAAGCAGCATCAGAGGAGCAGGAAGGCTGACGTTTCAGGTCGGGTCCTTTCTTCAGAAATGGGGGAGGGGAAGGGGGTTCTGAAATAAATAGGGAGAGAGGGGGAGGCGGATAGAAGATGGATAAAGGAGAAGATAGGTGGAGAGGAGACAGACAGGTCA